GAATGAACATTAAACGATTATTTTAAAGTAGTTAAAATGCATAAAAAGAAATATTTAAGCCTTTTTTTTTTTTAAAAGGATCGAAAAATAAATAAATGATAAATAAAATTCGACTTCTTGTGAGTAAATAATAATTTACATTTTTTAGAACAAATATTAGTAATTTAAAACATATTTTGTATTTATATAAGTAAAAATATCTGTATATATTGTATATAGTAGGTACTGATGTTTTATGTTCATTTATAAATTGAATGTTCTAAATATTTATAAATTTCTTATCATGTCACAATAGTATTGTTATTTTATTAAAATGTTAGAATGTAAGAAATAGATTTTAAAATGTTATACTTTGTTTGTAAATAAATAAAAAATTTAAATCATTTATCATGTTTTTTTAGCTATGAAATCTCTTTTTCCTCTTAATTTTATACTTAGGTACTTATTAATATTAAACATCAAGAGTTAATTGCACAATAATTCTAAATTAATATATTTTATTTGTAAACTTAATTTAAATAAAATTGAATGATTTATTTTTTTGAAATTTTGTACTTTTCATAATTGTGATATTGTTTAAACTTGTTATTTGTTTGGAAAAAAATAAATATATAGATATTATCTATTATTTAATGATGTTTTAAAAAAAATTTATTTATTTTTTATTTAGACAAAAGATAATAATTGAACAATATGCCAAAATGTGTTTAAATATTTAGTATGTATATAATATACTATATAAAACAAATGTAAAACGTGTTTGAAAACCTGAAAAAAGTCTGAAAATTAGCATTTAAATAATTGTAAGAATATGATTAGGTAATACAATATAAATGGGATCTAGTTACATAGCAGTATAGCACTATACCAACTTTTATCAAAAGATTTTTGAATATAACTAAAAAAATACAGATTTGATTAAAAGAAAAATAGAATTAGAAAATCATTTTTGAAATTAACTACCATTTTGTAAATGCACTTTATGTTAACTATATACATGACAACATATTAACCTATAATCTGGCTATGAAAAACTTACATTTTGAAAAATATAATTCAAATATATGCATTTATTAATTAAGCTATGTACCTATTAAACCATACTTGAGTGGGATTTTAAATAAATAGTTAATTATTACTAACTGTTTTTCCTGTTGTAGTAATGTGTGGATAATTGAATAAAGTTTAGAAAAAGGGTTAATCAAATCATACTTGGATCTTTAAAACTTTAAATAATTTTGTTTTTTAGGTCATGAAACATTTACACTATCTATTCTATTGATATTTTTATTTTATAAGTTTGGACATCCAAGAAGTCTACTCTTATTCGTCTAATACCTGATTTAGAATGAACAGAGCATGATGGTCAACTACAAGCTGAAATATATAGGTATTATTACTTTGAATTTTTTTTTTTTTTTTATGTATTTAAAATTATAAAAAATGTAAGCAAATTGACAAAAAGCATACATAAAAGCATTAATAATAATAAGTAGTACATGAATGGCATAAATTGGAAAAAATCATCCAGCGGTAACACTTTTCTCTTGAATTCTATTTTGAGTTTAGATCTTTTTTTTATTAAATTTTTGTCTTTGTATTAGTTTTTAATAAGGATTCAATGAGGATTTCTTGTTATAACATTTGAGTCAAAAACAAGGATCAGATTTTGATGACTGTAAGGTGAGAGTGAAAGAGTATAGATTGATCTGCTGTTTCTGAGATGGTTTAAATTTTATAGATGTTGGATTTTTTACAGCACTTCATACCTAATTTTACAGATACTTCTTAAGTATATATTTGTTTTAGAAGTATAGCAACAATTTATTTTTTAAATTAACATTGTAGTTTAATAATCTGTTTTTGGTCTAGGTAATATGTTTATTTAATGTACAACCTAAATAACTGATACTGGAGGTTGATATCTTGATTGTTTAAGAAAATTAGTGATATTGACCCTTATTTTAAAGTAATGGTAAAATGAGTAAAAATATTATAGTTCATTTTAAAATTGGAATACAATGGACAGTGGTTACATATTTTATAAATAATTTTTTAAATGTTGATTGGTAATTTATGGGTAGTCATGAGAAACACATAGAATTGTGTTTGGAAAAATCATTACCGATGTGCAAGGGTAATTGGATAGTCCATTGTGTATATTCTATATTTTGTTCAGAATAATAGAAGAAATAGTACTTTAAGAACATTTTTTTTTTATAAAAATTGAAAAATAAAAATAAGAGTTAAAGCAATTTTTTTTTAACTTAGAAGTCTAGAGTGACCTTAGTATAATCATGAAGTATAAAAATTATTGATAGCACATCATATATAAGTAAACTAAAGATAATTATTAAGTTAATAACTTTGATCTTTTGTAAGTAAGCAACCAATATTTAATTTTCAATTAGAAAATCATAATTTATAAAACCTACAAATTATAGTAACAACTATGTTGTACTTAGGACAATATTAATTAACAAATATTTTGCGCATAAAAAAAATATAGACATTTTAACTAGGTATAGATTTTACCTATACATTATATTACAGTATATAATACAATTATTGTACAAATTTAAGGTTTTAAACACTGATAAAAAGGATATAAATAAAATGTGTTTTTAATTTTTACTACCTACCTATCTACATGTAATATTTTTAAAAGGATTTTAATGTAACATTTGTTAATAACTTAATCTATTTTATATAGGTACTATATACATATTATAGTAGGTATAATTAATTTCATACTTAAAATTAAGAAAATATAACTAACTATAATAAGTAACAAGATTATTTAATGATGGCTCTTTTAAATTAACATCAAAGACATACCTATTATTTTTTTTTTTTTTTTTAGTTCTTTGTAAGTTATATTATTTTTATCAATGAGCTTACCAACTATTAATTACTTTTTATATTAAGTACCTACATTACTTTTCCTGATATATCTAAATGATACTGTGTTACAGCATGAGAAATGATGATATTAAATTATTTGCTAACATTTGCTTAATATAAATAATCTCGTTAATAAAATATTTAAAGTCTATGTTATTGTATGTTCATGATCAAGAAAATACACTAGATAATAGGTATTGACTATTAATAGATAATGCAATTAATGCATCATTTTGTGATATTATTTTATCAACTGGATATTTACACATTTAAATTTCATGGAGGATGAAATTAAAGCTATTAAGTTAAGAAAATAATAAAAAAATGAAAGTCAAGCTGATAATATAGGTAATCAAAAGTATAAGTTTGTTGGTAAATAGATTTTTATATTAAATTTGTGTTATTAGTTCAATTAATTCCACTAAAAGTCAAATAAACAATCATAGTAGGTACCTAAATATGTACCTACTAATTGTCTTTTTAAAAATACACAATATTTAGCAAAATTAGATAAAGGTTAAATATACATAGGTAATATGTATATTTAGTTTTTTTTAGTTTAAAACTAATTTTTATATTATTATTTACCTGTTTGTCAATTTTCACATTATGGTAAATATTTTAATTTGTAATAATTAAATAGGTGCATTTTTTTTTTTTTTTTTTATAATATCAAAATATTCACATTTATTCTGCAATATTTGATAAGAAAATATGTATTTAATTATGAACTTATTCAAAGTTAATTTACCTACTATTAACATTAACTAAATTAAAAACTCCATTAAAAACAAATATAGGAAGAAATATATTTAGATATGAAACTACAATGATATTAATAATTATTTAATACTAGATTTTTCTTTTGTCAAAACTTAAGTAAATGTTAGATTCTAACTTTAGAACAAATATCTAAGTAAAATAAAATTGAAATAATATTATTTTCTAATTATAGTGATTAATAGTAAAATTTTATTTACATGAATAACTTTAGTTTCGTTTAGTTTTTAGAATTTATGGTAGCTATATGTACTTAAAACAATTACATTTTTAACTAGTTTTGGATTTTTACTGTATTATGTATAGATGAAGTTTAAGATAGTCATTAATATTAATATTTACATTTAATATATTTTTATTACTTATACCTAAATGTAAATCTAAAACATTAATCAAGTAATTAAAAAGAAAATATTAGTTAAAAATATTGAAATTGATTTTATGATTATAGTAAAAAAAAGAAATCTAAAGCATCATCATCTAAGACTCAATTAGGTCATGTTAATAGTTTTGGATATTTATTAAATAATAAAGTAAGAGTTCAGATAAGTACGAGTCCTAAAATACGTTTTATAATTTGACTATGCTTAAAAACTGGCTGTAATAATTATTATTAAAAGTTGAATAGATAGTTAAATTGTGTTTACTTATATGTTATGATGGTAAGAATATTATACTTACATATTTTAGACATATTATATTACCCATGACTTTACTTAAAAGAATAGGTATAAGAAAGAAGACTTACTCAAATATGTTAAGTTTTTTAAAAATTCAGTTAAGTAGAAACTCAATTTTCATAGTTTATATTATAATTAAAAATATAGCCATTAGCTCAATTGCTAACACTAAAACTATTAAAATATTTTGGTAAGGTAATTCTATCTTGAGTATTCTATATAAAATCATTTTTTTCAAGCTATTATTATCTATACAGAAGATCAATGATCAAGAACGAGTTTAAGCATTGTCTTATTATAGTTTTAGGTAGATGCTCCTTAATTATTCAACTTTTAATAAAAATTATAATATACTTTGGTATGCTTTTGTTGAATGTCCTCAATATATAAGAATAATGCAGTATTATGTAGGTATAATTTTATATACAAATAAAATTCTTCACAAAAGTCCAACAGATTTTTAACTTTCCTACCTTAGGCATTCGAACAAAAGTAATCTAGGTACACGAGAAGTATACTGACAAACACATTTATGAGATAATATTGACCTATGTGTCTATCAATGGGTGAGTTAACAACGAAGAAATCTAATTGCTCACTATAGAGGTGCTGAGTGGACTATCAGTAGGTACTTACCAAGCAATAGGAGTTTGAGTTCTCGCCGGGCGTCCCTCTTGTCACGCCGCAGCTGTCGTTCAATCTCTTGGTTGATGCGCTTCTGTTCCTTGGCCTCCTCAGATAGACAACACGCCATTTCTGCGGTGACAGTAGCAGCACCTTGCGGCCCGGTCCACCACGATGACGGAGGACAGTGGGCTGCCGCGGCGAGTCCGTTATTACTTGCTGCACTGTCCACCCGTCGTACTCACCACCACCACCACCAACGCGGCCAGCAGCAGCAGACACCTCGTGCCACTCCACAGTGACTCGCAGCGCGCCGTGCCTCACCAAAAACGCACCGTGCGTGTGGGTGTATGTCGTCGTCGTCCAACACCACGACTCTGGTCGTCCGTCACCCTCCTAGGAAGGCGGCGACAACCGGCAGCACGCCATCGTCCATGTATAACACATCTCCGGAGCCGGTGCTGCCGGCGGTGGTGCCGTGAGTAGAGCCGGCGTGGTGGCGCGAATCCCGGGTGGGTAGTCGTTGACCAGTGGATATCCGGCGACGAAATCGGCGGTCGCGCGTAAAAACGGAACGAAGGCGAGCCGCACACACACACGCACACACACACACTCTCACATACAAAACTCCGCTATCCGTCGATGGGCGACGGCCGCACACACGAGAAAAACGACACGAGCGCGCACGCACACACTAACCCGCGGAAGGGCTCTAAACGAAAGGAAAAAAAAAATGCCAATGCGACTTTTAGCGCGTTCGGTTCGGCACAAAAATATTAACTACATCACTCGTGCACACATTGATAATATACGTGTGCGAGTGTTATATTATTATAATACTATATACGACGACGTGTATAATACGTAAGTGTGTACGAGTATGTGTGTGTGAGTGTGTGTGGGTACGGCGATATCTCGCACTCGGCTGGGGCGGTCGTCTCGCCGGCGCGCGGCTGGGTGTGGTGACAGCGGCGGCAGTGTGCGCGCGCTAGAGCGAGAGAGAGAGCGGGCGAGCAAGTGATGAAGACGTTGCGGCGGCGGTGGTGGTGTGGCGAATATATTCCGTGTGCGTGTGTGTGTGTGTGTGTGAGTGTGTACACGATCCGGCGGCCCGTGTGCAGCAGCTGATGTGAAACGGACGGTCGACCGGAAATTTTAATCTACACCACCGCCGTGTACGAGCAACAACAACGACGACGACGACCACAATCGTACCGAGCACACGGGGGGCTACTGAACGCCACCACCGCTTCGGTAGGCCGAACGATGTTGTACGTTAACGTTTCGACGACACGAACACTGGTGACGGAAAAACGGTTACGCGAACGGCCGTTGTAGTGCACAGTGCAAGTACTCGCACCGAGTACCCCGACCGACACGACGACGACACTATACTCGGACAACTCTCCGTTCGTCGACCGTTGTCGTTGTTGTGACTTGTGTGTGTGGCGACTGTTGTGCTTTTTTCGCTCTTTTTTTTTTTTTTACGCGCACGCACGCTCGTTCACACACACACGCGCGCGCTCACACACACGAGGGCGCGCACGCGATGGTTCGCTGCTGGTCCTGCTGCTTGGTGCCGGTGCCCGAGCTGCTTGGCGCTGATGCCGGTTGTCGGCGCGGCCCTATATTATCCTGTTAGACTTAACTCAATTTTAAAGAAGCCAATCATTTCTGACAAGAACACCGCACTGGGTTTCATACTTTCATAGTTTCGTAATTTGTTATTAACAAGATTATGCATGCGCACACACGCACGCGCGTTGGAGCCACACAAACGCCCATTCCTATATTTCACAGCGGTGGCGACCTCTGTCGGTCAAACGTGTAACGGGCCGGCGAGATTATCATTTTTTTTTTTCGTTTTCGGGGTACAAAATTCGGCGACCAAACGGTCTCTCTCCTCCGCGTCCCACCCGGTAATCAAAAAAACCAACGGTGGCGGTGCCGGACGGACCCGAAAAGTGCGAAACCTCCGTGACGCGATGTTTGGTTGTTGTGTCGATGGGTTGTGGGTGGGTGCCGGGTGGAGAGGAAGAGGCTATGCGGACCGCCACATCACGCGGCGGTCGATACCCGAAAATTCCACGAGTGCCACGCCGTGTCGCGTCGGCGTCGTCAGTCGTCACCGACCGTCGAGCGGCAGTTGCATCGATTTTCGTTCCGCCGCCCCACCCCACCAGTAGCCGGGCACCGGAGCTTGAACGGCGGTGCCTCTGTCCGCCAGTCGTCGCACCACCTAGGGGCGGGATTTTCGGCCATTCGCGGCGGTCACACTGTTACACCGCCGCGGTAGCTGCTACTGCAGCAATGCTCTGTCGCTGCTCGCGCCGCGCCGTCGGACAGGACGACGTCGTCGCGTTGTCCGCGCGCCCAACGAACGGCGGCAACGTTTCGCCCGACGGCGGCGCGCAGTGGCCAAAGCTCCGTCGGCGGGAAATTCAAACCGCTGATCGAAATCCGCTTTACCCCCACCACCGCTGTTGGTACAATCGTAGAATTATCATACCGTTTTATTGTTAACGTGTTGGCCGACATATCGACACTTATAGACGATAACCGTACTCATTCGTTGTTTGTACTTTGAAACGCGTCCGACTGCAATAACCGCTACTTCATTTTCATAACAAACGGACGTAATGCTATGTTAAAGTCGAGTTCCGTCTTTTGTTTGTTTAGAGAAAAAACAAATAAACCATTTAGTATACATGAACGACATTACAACAATAATCACGCATATGTATATATTTAGTCGTTTAAAATTGTTCAGTGAAAAATGCATTTACTCAAACGACTTAATGAAATATAATATTATAATACACAGGTACCTCATGATGTACATAAGTACACCTCCTGTATTTGCCGAAATGGATTAGTGGTTATTAGTGCTGATTACTACTTCATTTGTGATTTAAAAAAAGAAAAATTCTAATTCTAAAAAGAAACCATATAGATAGGTAAATAAAACGAGTAATACGGGCTTAGAATACTTACAATATTTAAATACAGGAAAAAAGTCACTTATATTCACCTATAAGTAAGTCTATTGTAGGCACATGCATGGTGGGATGATTTAGTCATTACTACGGTGCCGTGTTTAGAATAAGTAGCGTATATCAAAGGGATGGTGAAAGTTTGCCCTCTTCCACTCAAACCAAATTGGATTTTTTCGAGTTATTTTTTCATGCATTCAAATTTAATAATTAGTTGTTATCGGTGTTTTCAATTAGTGTGATAAGGATATCAAGTCATTTTTATACAAACTGATTTGGCTTCATAAAGTATACGCATTGTGATATTGAAGTAAAACTCCGAGCAACATTATTACATTAACCAATTTTAAAATTGTAAAATAAAATATTGTCATTACTCTAAAAATATAAATTTCTTGTATTCTGCGAGTGAAGTACCTACATAATTTATTGGTTTTATAATGATGAGAGTTTTTTTTTTTGTATGTAGACACTTTTTAAAGTTAACTTTGTTGTGAGCGGTTTCAAGTAGCGAATCCCGATCTAGTTGGTACTTTGGGTGTGGGTTAAAAATAAAAAATTCCCAGATTACAATATTATTTCAAAAAAATCAGGAATGATTAATAAAAAGGGTAAACAAGTGGGTATCGCTGTATCGTTCTACAGTACTGTAGATATAGAGTGAGTGACTGTAATGGATGTGTTAAATTTGAATTCAATGATATATCATTGAATATGAAAAACGATATTGAGTGGTAACGGTCGCCAGTTTATATACTGAGTAAATTTCATAATATGTTTATTGATATTTTTATTAAGCTAATTTATTTTACTATTAGTATTAGGTAAGGTTGTTTGATTTAATTTTTGCTAATTATAAATTTACTGTAAAATATATATGATCATAATAATTAGTAAATATATACTTCATTAACTTAAAATATAACTGTCTTACCTAGTATTTATAATTTTATCTGATCTATTCTAAACTTTATGGTTTGTATTTTGAACTGAAAATAATTAAATTCTTAAAAAGTTAATCAAGCTTCTTATTCAATACATTCTACCTCCAACACAAGCTATTAGCTTACAGGAGGTAGGTAATCAAAACTGTACCTATTTGTTAAATGTGTTTAATTTGTAACCATTTATTTTGATTTAAAAAAAAAAAAAATAAAAAAAAAAATAAAAAATACATCATTGATTTCTCTTAAATGTTGTATGTTATAATTTTAATTTAATTAAATCACAACATTCATTTTCTATCTTGTCATTGTTAAAATGCGTATAAATGTTCGATTTTTTATCATAGCGTGAGTTAAAATATAATTCCGTTTAAATCGCATTTGTAATATCAGTCAAATATTATAAACATAAACATTTTCATAGAGAATTCAATAATAATTATGTAAGTTGAAGAAATATATATTTTTATCTTTGACCTCACCACACAAATTGTGTTAGTTGTAATCTATTAAAGCTCTAAAATTGTTGGGCTTCATTAAGAGGATTTCTGATATATTCAAAATACAAATTTCCTTAGGTTACTCTTTTGCACCACGATAACTCAAGTGGTGTGTATAAATGGATATTCCCTGTACAAATATTCATAATTCCAACCATTTAAATCCCCATAAGTTATATACTAGATAAATATATACCCTTTGTTTTAAAATAGCGCTTCCATTATTAGGTTTAAATAAATAGCATGTTTTAAAATTTTAAATTATTGAAGGTCTATTAGTTATTTTTTCAAATATATTTCTGCATTTAATGGGATTAGAAAGAAGTAGATGTCAGTAGGTATATTTATAAAATTATACTTAAGGAGCTTATAGATTTATAGTTGAATTAAAGAAAAACAATCATATTAAATGTTAGTCATAATTATTGAACAATGGACATTATAAATCTAAAAATAATATGAAATCAATAATGTGCCTGCTAGAGATCGAATTTATTGAACTAATCAAATCATAATAAAGTATCTGTCTTAAGTTTTTTTTTTAAGACGATATTGAAATAAAAGATACCAAGTATTTTTAACAGCTAGGGATTTAACTAGTTTTGAAAAAATAAATAATGAAATATAATACTTAGATACACATAATAAAAATCACTAGCTTAAATTCATATTAAGTCTAATATTTGGTACGAGAAGGTCTTTACAGAAACAAAAAAATGATCAGTGATTACTGATTAGTCTGCAACGGAGTTAGAATAAGAGATTTTCCCACAGTAATGAAACTTTTTTATTAAAAAAAAACTATTGAATATTGTCATGGGTCACATACAGCTGAGGATATCTAGATACATTAATAATTGGCTAATATGTGGTAACGGTAAGAAAAATTTGCTTATAGGTATATTTTTAATATAACAATAATAATAATATTGTTCTCAATGAAAAATATGATTATTATTAAGACTTTATCAGGTGAATATCATTATTCATTAGCATCGTTAAAATAATCTTATGATTAATTTTCAGACGCCTTTCCAAATTAAATATATTTAAACAAAGACCTAATTTTAAAGGCTAATTAATCTGAATTAAATACAAAATTATAGTATTAAAATCACGATTTTGTAGTTTTAAAAGAAAGTCTTACGAAATTTTTAAAAACCTACAATAAAACAAAAGAAAATACATTTTAATTTTTATGAAAATAGGTTATTTTTTACCTATAGTTTTGGATAATAAATGATTATGTATATAAATAATAAGTACTGAAATAGCGTATTAAGAGGACGCCATATTAATTATTTTATTCTATAAAAGTATGTCAACACAAAATAACTCAAATACATTTTTTAGGTGATTTTAGAATTAAGAACTTATCATGAAATCGATTAAGGGCTGTTATAATAAAAACATTTCATAGACACGATTACAAGAACAATGTATTATCATAACTCATAAGTAGGACTAGGATTTAATTGCAATAAAAAATTATAAAATATGTATTTTATTTATTAAAAATATGAAAAAATATGCAATTAATATTATATATACCCAGAACCATTCCGTGAGGGGGGGTCTAAGGGGCATGTGCCCTGGGCGCATGGTTTAAAGGGGCGCTAAACAATTTTTTTTTATAATATTTTAAACTATACATAAATAAAATATATGAGAAAAATTATTGTTTTACAATTATTTTGGACCATTATAAATTTTTTTTGAACACATTGCGGACTAGAATCGAGTAATAACATTTATACTATTATTATAGCTCAAATGAAATGGAGATTTGAAAAATTATCAAATATTGCTGATGATTTTTAATTTCTTTCTGGTCATTCATTATCTTTAACACCAGTTGAAACATTGAAAAAATATGCAGCTGATTTATCAATCAAATACAACAAAGATATTGACCAGGAAATAATAAACGAAATCGAATTTTTTAAATATCAAACAAAAGCAATTCTACCAGACTCAAACGCAACAGCTTTAAATATTTTAAATGCAATTAAAAAATATGAACTTGATTCAACTTGTCCAAATTTAATAACTGCATATAGATTGTTTCTTGCCATGACTGTTACCGTCGCTTCCGGGGAACGCTCTTTTAGTAAATTGAAATTAATTAAGACGTATTTACGTTCAACCATGTCTCAAGAGAGATTAACCAATTCAGCAATATTGTCAATTGAGAATGAAATAACAAAAAATATTGATTTTGAAGACGTAATTGAAGATTTTGCTTCAAAAAAGTCGTTTGTAATACGTTTGTAAA